TTCCCTAATACTAGGTGTATGCAACGGATTGGAGCCCGGATGGACAGAGGGTAGCCAGTGGAGGGAAGGACAAGTGTTTGCGGATGTAAGTAACCTGTTGGCTGTCCGTGTAGGTTGTCACAGCCACTGCGTGTGTCCTTCAGAGCTGCAGCCTCCTTGCAGAAGCCTGCATGATTAGGGCATGATCTCTCCTTGCAGAGAGCACAGCGCTGGGCCAAATTCCAGTCTGGAAACTTGACATCCCTCAGGGCAGGAACTGCTGCTGTCCTCTGGGAGATGACCAGAAAGCAGAGTCCCTCCAACTGAGCAGTCAGTGGTGAAATTTGACTCGTGTTTTGGTGCCTGGAGAGGGGAAGGAACAGTTGCACCAGTTGGTCAGACCCTTCCTTTCTCACCTTCCTCCATCTCCCAGTTATGGAGACAGACAAATTCCCATGAGATGGTTGCCATTTGACTGTGGCTGATGAAGGAACCCAGTCCCCGGGCCCCTGCTGTGCTGGTGGCACATGCTACCTGCTGCGCCGTGCGGCAGCGCTGGTGTCGGACCACAGGGATGCAGCAGCTCTTTCTGTTTGCAGATGGCGTCGATAGGAGCAGTGACACGAAGCTGCCGGTCCTGTCCTAAGCTGTCCTGCCTTCGGCGCAGTCTGCCTGGGAGATCTGCAAGGCGATGGACGACAGAGGCTGACCTGAGCATGGCTCCCTGTTCCTGTTGGCTGCTCTCCCTCATGGACTCTTTCCTTGTATTTATTTAAGGAAATTTTAAATCTAGTTCTTAAGAGCTGTGATTTGCAGGATGATTTCCTCTGAACATTACAGGAGGGGTATCTCATCTGCCTCCATCTCAACTGGCTTTTTATTGAAATTTCAGCCTTACAGTCACCTGCTGCCTTGGAAGAAGGGGCAAGTGAAGGGTGGGGATGGCTCATGCCCTGTCTTGCTGTGTGAAGAATCCTGCAGGGAAGAGGCTTTTAGTGGGACAGAAAGGGTTGTCCTTGTGTGACCTTCAGAGAGGGAGAGAGAAAGGAGAAAATACAGCATGTCATTACATTGCAGAATTGTGCTCAGCTCTATGCCTGGGACAAAGATCTGCTGAGAGTAAGGTCTTGGGACTTCTCATTATTCCAGTAAGGTTTTGCCTTTCCACTCAGCCCGTTTCCCTGTGGGCTGTGCCGAGTGTTATCTGTTAGTGATCCTCCGCATCCATGGCATGAGATGATTCATTCAGTCATCCGTTCAGGGTGCAGCAGACATGGACTTCAAACGACTGCTAGAGCTGTGCTGAATTTTTGGGTCTCAGCAGCTCTTGGAAATGAGGGAACGAGGCATTTGTGGCAGGGAGCGCCTGTTTCCCATCCACTGCCGGCTGGGGGGGAAGGAAGGAAGGGGTGGGGAAGAGGAAGAACGGAGCAGACGTTTGGGTGGTGTTTGTCCCTTGCCCTGGATACGTGCTGACAGCAGGGCTGGTACTGTCACAGTAAATGGCAAAACTTCCATTACACAGAGTTGGCTCCTTCTGGAATTTCTCAAGTGCATTTACTTGCCCAGTGGGTGAGAGGGATTCACGCTGTCATTTATATGTTTGTGAGTTTGCTTATGAGCCTTTCTATAAGTCAATTCGGGCTTCCGATAATCATGAGGCTAATACACCTGGATTTAGTGTCTATTTCCAGGATGCTTATGAAACAGTGAAAATCAAGATGTGATTATTAAGGAGTAGAAATTACATTGTCAGATTTAGTTGCAGCAAGTTAACATGAAGGCCAAAACTTTCTTCATAGCCCTCATACTGCAGTTGCTACTCAGTGATTACTACAAATCAGAACAGGAGTTTGGGTCTCAGATGCTTCCTAGCCACAGAAG